ATTTATTTAAAGAAATTACACCTGTGTGATTTTAAAATGTTTATGATGTACCTATGTATTGTAAGTTTTCGTAAATTCAAATCGTAGGTGGAATTTCCGGTGACTGCAATAATGGCGTTAGATAATGATGAGGATCGTTCCATTGCGTGTTTCATCTTTGGTGATGGTCTACAAGATGATAAATGGCTTGTTGAGAATTTTGGCCATAGTTTAAGTCGTCTAGAACTGAAGGACTTGCTGCCAGAAACGTGGCTTCATGGTTATGTAAGTATTTTGTAGTTCTGTTTTGGTAAGGCATACTTGACCACATATTAGCTATACTAATCTTGGGTTTTGTTTATTTTAGATTTTGACTGTTGTAGCTTGTCAATTAGCTGTTGATGTTAGGGCTTGGGGGAAAAAGGGACCTTGGTATCTTCCATCCAGTTTTGAGGTAAGCAACAATTATGGAAAACTCTTTACAGTAAGGCCCTGTTCACTTCCATTTTCGTTTCCTGTTTTCTGTTTTCATGTGATAAATTTGGCAACCGAAATGAGAAAACTTGTTTACTTTTCATTCTATTTTCTATTCGTTTCCAACTATGAAAACAGAAAGTGGCAACTTCCTGCTGTTTTCGGAAACGACAAAATGTTGTTTTCACCTGTTTTCAACATCTGTTTTCTCAAAAACAGGAAACCGAAATGAAAGTAAACAGGCCCTAAGTTTACTTTTTTCTTTCTCCCAAAGTTGAATAGTGAATGTGAACTGCTACCGAGGATTTGGTTGTGAAAATGGGTTGGACTCCAAAAAAAGCCGTGGAAAAATATAAGAACCTATATCTTTGCGGCACCTTTGAATGCACCAAGGTATGGTGTAATAATATAAGTAATTTTTCTAGGGTACTATATTCTCTTAATGTTTTGCCCTTTACTGTATAGTCCATTCATTCTTTCGTCATCATTTACTTGTTTATTTATTTCAGATATATTTGCAAATGAATGATGAGAACCGCCATTGGTTTCTTATTGTGGTTTTCATGGACCGAAAGGTAGTGCATGTAGTGGACTCTTTTCCTGGAGATTTGGGTTTGCTGGAAAATCGTAGGAAAAGGGTGCAAGGAATGGTGGGTGATCAAACTATTCCCTTCGTGTACATTTAGTAAGTCAATTTTCTTTTTTTTTTTTAATTTTTGTACTGTAATAGTTACGTGTTAAAGTATTTGTTACAGTTGAAATTCTTTTACAAGATGCTTCAAGAATTTCCAGACAAGCCATCAACCTATGAAGTGCCCAAAGTGCATAAGTTCTAAATCATAAGTCCTCCATACGTTTCTAAGCAAATTGATGAGTTAGTATTTCTTTGAGTATTTTGATTATTTCATTTCGATTCACAATCTTATTTTCAATAATAAATGCTATTTTTCCACGTAGCTATGAGTGCAGGTTTTACGTTTGTCAGTGGATGTTGCACGGAGAGGCTGATAATAATTCGTATACGGCGGTATAATACAATCCTTTCCTTCTAAATATGATTCCATCCACGCGAGATTCTACACTATCAAATCGAAATCAACATGTTAAGAGTAATGTTATAAATTTGCTGCAGATTTGTAGTAATAGAGGTCGACTATCCTTGGCCATAAGTTTAGTCAAAGATCTCCCAAATACAAGGCGCTCTCAAATTATTGATGAAGCAATGGCCGTTTATGAAAAACATTTCAAGGGGAAAATCAGCTCAAAATGCCAAAAGAGTTTATTTGATTCATTTTAGAAAAGTAGTTGTTTTGTTTTATTGGTAGTCGGTCGGTTTTATACTTTTATTGGTAGTCGGTCGGTTTTACTATCACTTTGATCCCAATTGAATTCATTTTAGATTGGTTTTGGTGTTTACCTTTATTTTTTCTTAAATCCGAATGTTGGTTCACGTTTTTGTGGCTTTGTTCCTGATGCTTGTTCAGCTGAGATAAGGCTTAAAGAAGGCGCCTAGGCTTGAGCCTTATGCCCCATTCACTTGCCATTTCATTTTATATTTTTTGTTGTCACAACAAAAAATAAGAAATATGAGTAAAAAAACGTGGTTCATTTCTCCTGCAAAACAACAAAATCTAATTTCCTGGAATTTTAGTCGCGCGTTTCTCCCCCATTCCCAGCGGAAAATTGCTACTGTAGTTAAATGAGGTTCTGGGTTCGAATCACATCACCCAAATTTTTTTTCCTTTACTTCCTTCTCGACCATCATCTTGGAACTTTCTTCCCTCTTAAGTCCACACCGGATAAACTCATAAAACCTGAACCATTTTCCACGTCAATAAACTATTGACCTTTCTCCTGGTCAGTGAGGTTTTTTGTTATCTTTATTTCGGCCCAAAAAACGCTCCAATTCTTGGCTTTGGCCTTTGGATATCTCATATCTTGCCACCGGAGGACGCCGAAGATTATGCATTCATCGGAGCAAACATAACCATGTTGGATCCAACAAATAGCTTCAATAACAAAATTTTAACCCAATAACAAGTGTATTGTTTTGGTTCTCAACGAACATGAAAAGGGAAAGAGACAAGCAGACAATTCAAACAATTCAAGGGTATTATTTTGGTTCTCAACGAAAATGAAAAGGGAAACAAAACTAGAGTACTGGCAGGAGAACTAATCAACCAAATATCGAGAATATACTACTGCAGGAGAAATGAACCACCATCTCCCCATGAATCTTCTAGTTCTGGATTACGCTCTTTTGGCTTTCCTCCTTGTACCTACGAGTCTGGGCAACAAATCTCGATGCATTACTATTTGCTTCCTCGATGACGACATGTCTTATGTAATTTGTAGGGTGTTGGACTAGATACAAAGCTAGTTGCATTCTCCTTATATCTCCGCATGGCTGCAACAGTTTGACAATGACAATGAGGCTTAGTAGCTGTTTCGAAAGGTTGTTTTCCTTCAAGGCCAAGTAGGAGAATTCTTGCTTACCCATAGATTATAAGAAGCATCCCAAGATGCACCCATCATCCATGAGCACACTCAAACGCCACTATCAGACCTGCATAAAATAAGATGCATCATATGAGTGGTGGGTATCTAAGTATGTTTCTAATTTGTTCACAACAAACAATTCTTACTCGTGACGTTGTTCGGGAATTGAAGGAATTGTCAAAGAAAATTGTTCTAGCACAGGTGGATCAAGCGTTGGTTCCACTTTCCGATAAAGATCCTCAACAAGTCATCAAGAAAATCGATCTACATAAGCAGTAATCACTTTATTCGGGATAGATGAATACACAAATCAACTTAGAGATATAACTGTATTAGGATCAGGAGGTCAAACCATACCATAGTTACTACTGCGTTTCTACGAGATCTTTGGCGCTTTTTAGAAGGATACGAATCCAATAGATGGACTTGTTTGTCGTCTAGCATAATGACAGCTAAATACCAGTGAACTGCATCACCGTCCATTGCATCTTTCATGGGCAGACACACCTAAATAACGACGAAAAAGACCAAACTCAGCTGAGCATTGTAAAATACAATTTATAGAAATATCAAAAGCTTGATGGAACATCTAATTTATTCGCATATCCAATTCAAACAGTAGCTAGAAACAGTAATTGAGGAATATTTCAATGAAACTAGAAAGGAATTGTTAAGAAGAAACCTTTCTGCACGTGTGAGCTCTTGCCAAGAACTTTGCACCATAACACTCTAGAGCTTTTTTTGATGTCATGCCATAGTTGATTACCATTTCCTGATCATGGTTCATTTAAAATAGAAGATAACACATTTAATAGGAGAAACGGAATATTGCACCTAAAATAAATATACAAAGTAAATGGGACTATACTTGTAGTTCAGCAGGCAGATAACAGACTACTCTTCCATCTCCAACATCCCTCCAAACTTCCTCCACGCTCAATTGGCAAGCCATGGCTGTAATTACATCATCATCGACATTAGACTTAGGGCAGAGGGACCACAACACCTTTCGTGTATAGGATTGCATCATGGTTTCAACCAGGACTTCCTTTTGTGGAAGATCCTTCGCAAATATTTAGTGGGCAAGGTTCACTTTCTCTCTAGTGTACTTGAGAAGTGTTGGAAGTGTAAACTTTGTTTCACCCTACAATAGAAGACGAAACATAAGGATAAAAACAATTGATTTTGTTCTAAGTGGGGAAAATTGGTGGGCTAGATTATCATACCTTCTTGTCGAATTGTAAGTAAGAAAATTTGGTACGGCCTTTCCAAACTAAGTCATTCCAATCTGCCTGCAAATCACCATCAATCTGGATCACACCATCTTCAGTTCTACCTTTCTTTCCTCGAGATTCATCCTTCTCCAGAAAAGAATTCATCGTAATAAAAACACAATGCCTTATTTAGTTTGGAAGCATAATCTGCCAACGATGGAGAAAACGGGAAAACAAGAATGCAAATTGACGAACCATTAATTTGGAAGAACTTCTGGTCTTGCGTTTTGTCATCATCCTCCCGTCCTTATCGTTCTGCATATTGCTCCTGGTTTCGGCCCCCCTGACCGAGCTCCTGTCCTGAATGAGCTCCTGGTGAATGCAGAAAAGGAGTTAGCATTCTTAAACTAGGGCCAACGGGTGAGTGTTTTTCTCTATAAGGATACTGGAAACTTTATCTTCCTCATTAACCTCCACATGGAAAAGGAAAATAATATTTTTACGGGTAATAATTAACATGGAAACAATCCGCATCACCTATTTGGAAGTTGAATCTACCATATATAACACGCAAGCATTCTTTAGTATTTTTTTCGGTAATTCAAGCATTCTTTATTAGTTGCATTCTTTATCCAACTAGTAACCATAACGGGAAACAATATAATAAAAATTTAAAGTACTAAAATATTAAAAAAAACGGTACACCATGACGGAAAAAAATAGAAAAAACTAATAACACGTGAAAAACGGATTAGGTTAACAACAACAGCAAAAAGACCTCTGCTTTGCGCCTGATTCAGCCCCTCCCCTAAACAGCAAAAAGACGGCACACCAATGGAGGAAGAGGGAGATAATATCAACAACAATGAAGACAGCGATGTTGAAATCATACCAGAAACAATGACCTCTGACAGCGATGGTCCTACTGTACAGGAGGATGACACAAACGTTATTCAAAATTCTCCTTTTATCGGTCAAGAATTCAATCATTTTGAGGATGCATATGCGTTCTACAACAACTATGCTAAGAGTTGGGGGTTTTCTGTCCGTCGCTCAAGGAAGGTTAAGAACGTCAAGGGAGAGGTAACAAGTGCAGCCTTCGTGTGTTCTTGTCAGGGAGTTCGAGAAGCACATAAAGGTCCACAAAAGAGGGAGTCGCCTATATATGGAGATCAGATTTCAGTGCATGGCTATGTTTTGTGTGAGCTTGAACAAGATAAGCAATAAGTGGGTGGCTGATATATTTAACTCACAGCACACTCATGACCCAGTTAGGCAGAATCAGGTACATTACTTGAGGTCGCATCGAGGATTAACAGAAGCAGACAAGGCAGACCTCCGATTTAAAAAGGATGCCGGAATGAAACCTTCTTAGGCCATTAAGCTTGCTGTGCATTGTGCTGGAGGGCATGACAAACTTGGGTATACAGTTAAAGATGGGTTAAATTTCAGCACCAAAGACCGCGCTGAGAGAATCAGCGAGGGTGATGCAGCAACTGCACTGGCCTATCTAGAATCAAAGAAAAGCACAGACCCACACTTCCTCCTCCGATACACTACTGATGAGGAAAAAAGGCTCCATTTTTTATTTTTGGCTGACAGCATTTGCAGAGCCGACATTTCGTGTTTTGGAGAGTTGCTCGCATTTGACACAACGTACCAAAAAAACATTTACAATATGTCACTTGTCATTTTTACAGGTACGCCATCCTAGTATGCCCTCTAAGTATTATCCTTTGCTTTGTTGTTTGAATACACATAATGGCATCTAGAAAACAGCAAGTTTCTGATTATATGAACTCTACCATTGTTTACACATTCCTCACAGTTTTAGCTTTTCTCCTGCTAGTTCAAAAGATTCTGATTTTTCCGAGTTTCTGTTTGACATTGTAGGTATCAACCATCACTTCAAAACTTGCTTATTCGGGAGTGCACTGTTTCCCAATGAGACTGACGAAACCTATATTTGGGCGTTGAAGATAGTGAAGGAAATGTTGGGGGACATTCCGCTACGTACAGTTGTCACGAATGGGGATAAAGCAATGAGGAAAGCTATTGCTAATGTGTTTCCAAATGCAACACATCGGCTATGTGCATGGCATTTGTCCAAGAATATCACTGGCAGGGTGAAGAATCGACCCGACTTTGAACCCCGGTGGAAGAAGTTAGTAACTGCTGAGTACGAGCCAGAAGAATTTGAGGAGAAATGGAATGCATTGGTAGAGGAATGTGAACTCCAGAACAACCGATGGGTGTCGAAAAAACTATCTGGGAGACGCAACAAATGGGCGGACACATACTTGCGCTCACATTTCTTTGCTGGGTTGACAACCACATCAAGATGTGAAAGCATAAATGCGGTTGTTGCAAGGTATGAAAATGAGAGGTTTTGTTTGCTTGACTTTTTCACTCAATACGACCGGTGGCTCAGAGACATGAGAGAGACAAAGATTAGATTAGATTTTGAGTCTAATTATGGTGTAGTTCCTATAAAGAATTCATTACTAAAGCCCCTCGAGCAAAGTGCAGCAAAGCTTTTCTCAAAGGTTGCATTTCTTTTGTTCAAAAATGAGTTGGAGGAGGTTATTGGAGTCATTAAGGGTAACCAAACTGAAGAGGGGAACCTACACACTTACACTATTACCATGTTCAACAAAGAGAAGGTCATAGAGGTGAAATACAACATTGAAATAAGCGATATGGAGTGCAGTAGTCAAAAGTTTAAGAGTATTGGGATACCCTGCGTTCATATGCTATTTGTTCTCAAAGAAGAAAAAGTGAAGACTATTCCTGAAAAACTGGTACTCAGACGTTGCTCGAAGAACCCAAAGTCCCTACACACTCTGCCAGAACCAAGTACATTGGGGGATGACAGCAGTTTCAGCATTAGGTACGGGTCGCTACAGTTCATGGCTCAACGATTCTGCTTATTAGGAGCAGACACTCCTCTCTCTTATCGAATGGCTCAAGATGAGTTGACAGTAGCGTGTAACAAGTTGGAGATGGTAAAGAAAACCCCGCCGAGAGAGAAAGGATTGTCATACCAGACAAGTTCAAAGATGTATTGAACCTAAATCAAGTGAGGTTTAAGGGTTGTAGGAAAGGAAAGGGGAAAAAACAACTTAAGAAAAAAAGAAGAAAGTGTGGGAACTGCGGGCTAAGGGATGGGCATTATAGGAGCACTTGTACTAACCCCCCAGCCGACGTGGTAGAATCTCAATCTGATGAGGAGGATGACGACGATGACATGGATGATGATGGGGACGACGGAGAAGATGGAGACGACGATGATGGAGATGATGACCAAGGTGGTCATCCCCAAAAGGTAATTAGCATCTCTGGTTAGGTGTTCTTGATATAGTTATTAGATTTAATAACCTACAAATGTTATTTTGTTTTTACCAGAAGCAACGAACGAGCAGGCATAATACTACTGGAGAGCCCATAGGAAAAAGTCAGCCACAATAGAAGGTTATATATCATTTGTTTATTCAATAAATTATCGATTTGTTAGAAATGGCTATTAGCTTAAGAGTTTATTTGCCCTCTAACAGATCGGGGCATGTACTAGGAGCAATACTAGTCAACAAGATGAGGGAGCAGAGAAGGGAGCTAAGAAGCATACAGGACATAGTGCTGGGAGTACTAGTCGGCATGATGATCGTCCAGGCGATGAGCATGAACTGGTACTTTTCCAATCACACTAATGATTTAACCAGCAAGATTAGATGATTCTTTGTGTTGGAAGTTACATCTTTAATATTATTTTTTCTTATTTTGGCTGCTACAGAAACAACATCAGACTAGAACCCGTGGTGCAAAGAACAGAAGCATCAAGAAAAACAAATGAAGTTCACTAACACTTCCATAGCAAGAAGTTGAAACGCCCATGGAAAGCAATGACCACTTTTTATTGAGTTTACAATTTCATTATTGATTTTAGGGGACAAAATCTTTTATCTTGGTATATTTCACAAAAGTAAACTCCATCGACACTTCATATTTTTGTTGGACGAAGGGTACATTGCGGGACATGAACTGTTTGCAATTGAAAGGACATACCTGGATTTTCTTCTTTGTTTTGTTTTTGTTTTTTTTTTTTTGTTTTTTTTTTCTTTTTTGTGTGAAGCAGACCTGGCAAGCTAATGCCTCACGGGTTGCTCCTCCATAAACTGTCAGCATAAGAACAGGTAGATCTTTGAATCGGATGTTGATGCCAAATATATGGAAACCCATTCATGTGTCTAACCAGTATAGCCGCCTAAATTTGTAACAGTGACATTGGAAATGCGTAATTTACCTCCAGTCTGAAGTGCTTTTTCAATTTGTCCACTTCAGATTACCTTGAGGCCTCAACTGCATTACGAAGAGATATACTATCAATAGAATTGAACAAATATATCATTTTTCGTTGACACTTTTGATTTGTTTGAGTGTATTAGGCACTATAATCTCAAATGCATTAGAATGATGCAACTCAAATACACGATGGTAGTTTTCATTAAAAAAAATACACTAGGGTTGTAAGCATTTGAAAATGCACTCTAGAGAAGTCGGTCCCACGAAAGAAAAATGGTGCATTCTTCAATCTAGGATATGTTCAGTTCTGTAAGTATTTTAGAAACAATTCTAGTCCTTTTCTCGAGGCGATGTTTTTGAAATGGACAAACTGGGGCACAAAGACAAAGGCTTAAGGGTTGAAAGCATACCAGTATGAGCAATCGATTGTGGGAGTTGAGATAACATTCAATCGCATCTCCCTGTGGAATCCCAGGTGGGACTTGCCTCGTCCTTAGTTGTGCCTCAACCACTGTATCATTGAGCTCACTTTCCAGAAAAAAATACAGCAATCTAAGATGGTCAGAGTCAGAATCTCACGTATGCGATTATCGATACAGTGATTGCATGTCAAAGGAGGAACACATACTTTCTGAAGTATGATCTTCGGTCAAAATAGAATTCGTGAACTCATCATAGAGAATCAACGCATTCTAAAATATAATTTGAGTTCTATGAGAATGAATTGAAATCGGCTGACTAATATCTAAGTACCTCGCTGAGAATAAGAACACCTCTCTTTGAATATTGGCATGCTACAAACTCATAAGTAACGAGATTCATTCCATCTCGCAATGAGGTTACAATCGCCACGTCTGCAAGACGGGAATAGAGATCATGACATAAGCACACAAAGTCGAAATCCTACTAAGGATACTTGTGTAGATCAATGAACATAAAGGGAAGTGTAACATAAGTTCCACGTCTATGACTTTAAACAACCATGCAAGAAACAGGGTCGACAATTTCAATTGAACTCGGAAAAAGTTGCAGTTAAATTACACATCAAAAGAACATTGTACCAGTAACAACATTTAATGCACATAGGCCAAGAAAATCCAAGGACCGATCCTGCATTAACAGAAGTCTATTTCAGGATACAATCACCAGCCGTCTGGTGACCAAATTTACGTAAAAGAACTAATCACGATATTACATGGAAAGACCGGAAACAGCTTCCATTGTTTCCACTAACAGCTTACAAAACATATGGAAAGAAGATGAGTTAAGTTGACAGTAACAAACCAGGTAATGTATTGGAACAGCAGTTAGTGTCCCAAATCGGCCATTAATGCGCCCAACGATATCATGAACCTGACTTGTAAGTTTCTGATCTGTACACATGTGACAAATATAATTTATTAGTACTTCAAATGAATGCTCCAAACAAGAATAAGGCATGTTTTCTTTTTGCTGTATGAATCAAGATAACTAGGAAGCTTACATTCAGGAACATCAGTTCTTGTTGGCACAGCAATTTGCAGCAGAACAACTTTATCACGCCATAGAGGGTTCTCCTCAAGAAACTTCTCAAATGCAAGTATCTTCTGTGGTATTCCCTTAATCATATCGAGACGATCAACCCCTAGCATCACCTATTAAAGAGTACGACGTTTACATTCAAGAATGAAGAAACTAAGCCAGTGACTTTAATCAGTAGGTTGCTTTCTCTTAAGCAAGTAAAACAGCATATGGAGGTTAAATTCAGATTAAACCTTACGGACACGAAACCTTTCCGTCAGTTCTTTTATGTGCTCCTGCACCTTTTGGAGCTTAAGCGCTGATATAACCCTTTCTGAATCTATCCCTATTGGAAACTGAACATACAAAGAAGACAAACAAATCGTCAGTGTGCTAACAAGGACTAAAAGACGACCGAGACAAGATAA